GAAACTAAAGTGGAATTTCTGTATGCTAAGCTCTGAGTCAGAATTTTGATAGCCCTCCCATTGCAGGGAAATAAAATGTAATGTAAGTACATCTAGGGCTTTACCACATTAGGATGTATGCCTGTGTTTTTGGAGTAAATATAATATGCTTCAAGTATTGAGCCTGCTTTGATTATCCTTACTAGTTGCTCTCTTGCTCTCTTGACACTTTTTTTTTGGTGCTGGGGATTGAACCCAGGGTTTTATTCATGCTGTACAGCTGTCTACCACTGACCTCCCCCCCCCCAACAAGCAACTTTATTTTGAACTGATTTAAATAAAAGTTGCAAAGATACTGCAGATACTTCTATTAATGTTAACAGTTTACATAACCCACAAAGCAGTTATCAAAACCAGAAGATTTGCATTGGCACAGTTTATGCAAATAATTGCTTCAGTTTTTCTTTTCCTGTTTCAGATTTCTGTCCAGGCTCCCATATTCCATTTATTTCATTACTGTTTAGTCTTTTCCAATCAGTAACAGTTTCTCTTTTTTTCCTAATCAGTATTATGTTGTTGCTGATAAAGTTCACAACAGTGTCTGATGGGAATCTTCAGGGAGACACTTTGTGTATGTTAAGAACAGGATTTAATTTACCTTGTTCAGTTAAGCAAATCTTTGGTGCAGTGTTTGTGGGCAAAGATTTAAGTCGTTAAATAACTTATGAATCATGAAATATCATTTAGTACTTGAACAAACAAGAATGAAAATGGTATATAGGCTTTTCACATTTTTAATATTGTCATTTTACTGACTTTTTCTTTAAAAAGGCCTTTGAGTTAAGAGTTATGTCTTTTGTGGACAATAGCCTACAAGTGGTAACTACATGCTGCAAATGCCTGCTACATTCTGTTTATTAGGAGTAGAACTGTGTTGACTTGTCTTTGCAGGGTGGCCCTTTCTATCTGAGGAAACATGATTCTCCTGGTGGTAGGACAAAACCCTGCCCTTTGGAAGATGGGCTGGTGGAGTGGCTCAAGTGGTAGAGTGCCTGCCTAGCAATCATGAAGCTGAGTTCAAACCTCAGTTTGAACAACAACAAAAAACCCTGGGGTTTGATCCGGGATAGTAGCTTTAGTGAGGAAAGAAATAACTGAGCTCTCGTGCTAGCTTTGGGGTGGGAGAGCTACATTGGTCCTGAGCAGCTCTGCAAAAACAGGTAAGGCTTAGGTGGCGCCAGGAGCTACAACTCTGGAAGTGATGATTAAAGGACCTGAAATATCGTAGGTTCAGATTTAGATTTATTATATTTACATATTTATTGCTTTAAGCCATTTCAGAGTTTCAACTAAGTTATTAGAAGCACTTTTTTACCAATTTGAATTTCTGTCCTTAGATAGCTAAACTCTTCCCTGAGCCAAATTAATAAAATGGAATTTCTTATTAAGAATGAATTATTAAGTAAAGTGGAAGCACTGGCTAGGAGAGTAATTGATGGTTTGTTTTCAAAGCCTTAAAAGTGCTGTACTGTGCATAGATCACAAGGACCTCCTTAAGTGCCAACACATGGAGCGTTAATTTTCTTTCATAGAGGATTCCAGGTTCACAGGATATCAGAAGTGCTGACTTGGCAGTGAAATCCCATTTGTAACATGTTAGATTAGGAAACAGGATTGATTTATATGTTGATGTAATGGATCGAGGCACATGTGTGCGGAAGAAAATGGAGAGCGCATTAAATAAGAACATTTCAAAGTAAAGAAGTACAAACATTATAGAAAAAAATGATCCTATCACACACTAGGTAAGGTTGGGTATGTTTGATTAGTTTATCTTGAAGCCTGGCCCACAGAGGCTTTTTATATTTCAGATACCTTCTTGAGAGTCTCATGACCACAAGGATTAATCTTTCTGAACCCAGAAGTGAATCACCATAGCCTATTAGCTGTCTGGATTGATTCCAGTTACTCTCCTTTTTCTTGGTGGGAACTGATGTGAGGATCTGTTGCTGCTTTGCTCCTCTTCCTGTTGCTTTAACCTCTGGTATTTTAGATTCTCTTTAGGGAAGGTAATGTTGACCATCTCAGCACGGAGATCAAATGCACTTACACTGATGTATTGACCTCCGTGGTTGACCCATAAACTGAGCATTTATACAGTAGGAACTCTTGTGGTCTTGTAGCCAACAACCATAATGAGTAACATGTGGAACATAATCTTTGGTGCTGATAAATGGCTGCTTGCACTAAAATTGACCATTCCAAGGCTGTGGCTTGGTGAGCTTACCTAACTAATAGACTGTTTCTTACCTGTGTTGATTTTTGGGATTTAAGGGGTGAAATACTCCTCTCCCCCATCCTATTTGCTTAGTAAATATTTGTTAATGTATACTATTTGTTAATGTATACAAGGCCACAGAGTTGAGAAAACATTGCTCAGAATTTTTCAGATTTAACTATGATAGTACATTTGTAGTGGATTTAGGAAATATGTTCCTTCTGACCTGTCCATTTGACTTTCTCTTTTTTTGTTTTTTTTTATCATGTCTTCTTAGATTTTTTTGTTGTTGGGGATTGAACCCAGGGCCTCATGCATGCTAGGCAAATGCTGTTCCACTGAACTACGTCCCAGCCCTGTATTTCTTTATTCATTTCTATCTGGGCTTTTGAAGTAGGAAGCAAAGAATAGGGGAAGAGCAAAGTGCCCCTGAGGTTTTTTTTGCCTTTATCACTATTTTCCTTTGTGTTATAATCCAAGAATCTAGCCACAACGATTAGATAAGGGTCTTGAAAAAAAGAGGCCTTTGGGTACAAATTTTGAGATTTTACTATGAAAATGAAACATGTTTGTCTTGTGCATCCTTTATATTTTTTAATAATTTGTTTGAATCACACACTATTAGATATTATTTATAAATGTGTGTTCCTTTCTCCAGGTATCTTTAAATGTTTTTCCTTCTTTAGAGGAGTCAGGAATTCACATCAGTCTCTATGTAGATCACATGCAGCTTTACTGAAGGCATAGGGTCTTTCTCCATTAACAAATGACTATGTAAAATTGATGTAGCGAGACTATAATCACCTTTAGTTAATAAAGGTGTTACTTATTTGTTGGATTTAATTGAGGTGTTTTCCAGCAACAGTTTCATTCTAAGTTAACTCTCTGTGACACAAGTGTTTCTTCTTCCTTCTCTTGAACTAGTAGAAAACAGGCTGATTTTAATAGGCTCCATTCTATTTTATTAGTAGTTATTGATGTTTATTTCTTACTATGTCTGACTTATAAATAATAGTTTATAGATGTATAGGAAAAAACTATGACGTATAGGGTTTGGTATACTCTGATTCCAGGGATCTCTACAGGACACCTGAACACTAGATGCACAGATACTTGTGCTCTTCCAGGGCACAGTGTTTTGTAAGAACCTTACCACTCTTGCTCCTAAATGCTATTTCTTGTCTAGAATTTCTCAGCTGTTAATAGTTAATATTGGGTCACAAAACGAGGATACTGACCAACGAACAACTTTACGGAATAGTTGATTATTTCCACCCAATATAACATAAAATTGTCCCTGAAATCTTCCTCCCACCATCACCTCTCTTTTTTTTCTTTGTTGTTTTTCCTCTCCTCTCTCCAGATGGGGTCTCGTTTTATTGCCCACACTGGCCCCAAACTCCTGGATTCACATGACCCTCCCGCCTCAGCCTCCAAATTGGGTGAGAGCATATTTCTCTGCACCTGGCTCACGAAATCCCTTTCTGTGTTTTGTTTCCATGAAGGATGCCACCATATACTGTCTATTGCAAACTGAGACAGCCACCTTTGTCTTACTGAGATAATCCACTTAAAAAGAAAGATTGATCTTGGCTCCCAGTTTTGGAAGTTTCAGTTCATTGAGGTTCAGTTTGGCTGTGTCTTTTGGGTGGACCTGTGGTGAACACGACAGGGGAGTGCATGGCACTTCAAACTGTTTACCTCATGGTGGCCAGGAAGCAAAGAGGATGAGGAAAGGGGATTGAGATCCCAATAACTTCTCCAAGGGCATGACCCTTTTCTTCCCCAGTGGACTTTTCCATTAGGCCCTACTTCCCAGTAATGCCACAGGGAACATTGAAGATCCAAACTATCACACAAGCCAAACTGGACTTTCCTCTTTCTCTTTATTCATATCTGATCTGTCATCGAGTCTTGCCCTTTTTTTTCTCTTATCTCTTGAATCTCTCTCTACCACACCATCATAGCCTAAGCTGCCATTATCCTTCTCTTGGATGGAGTACTTCCAGCTTCCTGAGCCATTTCCCGGTGCATATTCTTACAGCCTTTCAGTCCATTCTTTACCTTGAGACCAGAAGAAACATCAGAGCTACATCTTGAACATAGTAACTTTGTGTTTAAAATCTCTAACATTCCAGTGATAGAGACTGAGATTCTTTTGGTCTACAAACTGTCTAGACTTGTCTCTGTTTCTCCATCCTTTCTCTACCTCACTGTCTACATTCTGTCATCACGATTGCCCAAAGCTCTGAGCAAGCCCTCAGGAGGCTTCCTTGATCATCTGCCTAACTTGGCATTAGACTGAAAGAATGGGACCAAGACACTGGTTACCCTTGTGTCCTAAGCATATATAGCACGTTGCTTTGCAAAATATTTTTTCATTAAAAAGTTTTCATTATATGAATGAATTAATTAAAATATTGGAATGTTAGCCATTCTCTACTTTGATTTGGTATGTGAAGGAAGGAATAGATTTGCTTGTATCAAGATACATGGCAGTCAGGCTATAGGTTCTTGATTAGAAGAATGCAAGATGAGGAATAGAGGTTAGATTTCCAGTTAACCTTTAACTTGTCCAAAGGTCATTTTTTAATTCTGGCCCACCTACTGGGATAAGAATTTGTTTATGATGACACAAATAGTTGATAAAGATTATTGGCTGATGAGTTCTGTCACAGCCATTGAATGACTGTCATTCTGCCAGCTTGTTTGGAATAAACCTGGAATTTTTTCCCTTTGGTAGGCTCTTGCAGCCAATGCTGGAACAGGATTTGCTGTTGCTGAGCCTCAAATTGCAATGCTTTGTGGAAAGTTAAATATGCATGTGAACATTCAGACTGGGAAATGGGAACCTGACCCAACAGGCACCAAGAGCTGTTTTGGGACAAAAGAAGAAGTTCTTCAATACTGTCAGGAGGTAAGATTATTGCCAGGGTTGGGTCTGTTTACCTTGGGAGTAGATATTCTGTCATTCTTTTCTTTTGATCCAAGACCAAGATGCTAATAACTGGTATCCCAGGCCTTTTGTTTCTAAATGTATAGTGTAATTGAGATCTCCCAAAGGGTTGGCCTATTTGTGCTGTGAGCTCTCAGTTCCAGAAGGAATACTACAGAAGCTTGACAAGTGGTGTAGAATCCCAGCCTGATTCTTTTGTTTTCCCATCTGTCTTGGGAAGATGGAAAGCAAAATATGTCATGTGTATTTTACTTGCTGATAGAAAGCCACCAGTATTATAAATGGCCATGTCATGACTGATTGAACTTACCTTTTGGTTCAAGAACAAAAGAATATATTTTTAACTTCTTATCAAGATTAACATATAGGATCAGGGGTGAAGTATTATTCTATAATTTCATTAACATATACTCCCATAGACTTGTCTCTTAAATGTTTTAGTTCACAAACTCAGCAACTTACACATACCCAGTAAGCAACATTGATACCTAGTCAGATTTGTTTGGGTTGAAATCCTTCTTTAACTTGTCTTTAAATACAGATTCTTTTTAAAAATAAAATGCATGAAAGCAATTAGAAAACTACCCCTGTCAAGAATCTTGACATCTGCAATTAGAACCAGGGATTGCAGAGTAGAGCTTCAGGTTTATGTAGGATAAGGGTGGAGGGGCTGAGTAAACTTGCGTAATTATCCTTAATTGAAAGTGATTGTCTTCCTGCAGGTTGATTTATTTTGTGTGGGCATTTTCTTTAACAGATGTATCCAGGTCTACAGATCACAAATGTGATGGAAGCAAACCAGCCAGTCAATATTGACAGTTGGTGCCGAAGGGACAAAAAACAATGCAAGAGTCACATTGTTATACCTTTCAAGTGTCTTGGTGAGTGTTCTTGGTTGCTTTTCAGAAAGTGCCCCTCCCCCCTTACATTTATTTAATTTTCTGTGGCTCAGTGATGTATCTATATCTGTTAAGATGAATTTATTGGGAGACTATCTCCTGTTGGTGATAAACTCCTTAGTGTTACTAACTCTGACTCTTTCATTGTGGATGTCCTTCTGTCTTGGATGATGAGCTTTTTCTGGGGGTACTGAGTAGAAGTTTTGCCTTCAGAGCACTCCAGCTTTGCTTCCCATTAATAGTTTGAAATTAATGCTGACAGAGACAGTAAAGAAGGGGTACTAAAGAAAGCAGCCCATGGCTAGAGGAGTAGCTCAAGTGGCAGAGTGCCTGCCTAGCAAATGCAAGGCCAAAGGTTTAAACCCCAGTTTCACCAAAAAAAAAAAAAGAACGCCCAAGGAAGAGGGTCTTCTCTTTCCCATAGTTCATCCTACACCCATTTGCACTGTTAGACCAGACTGCTGGCAGTGTTCCGGGAGGAAGAAAAGTGACTCAGCAGCATGTGGACAGGTGCCAGGGCCAGATGCTATGGGATCTGCTATTCCGAGGAGCTTGGGGCTTAACCAGGTGTTACAACTCCATTGCTAGTGTTAACATTTGGAGCCTGCTTGAATAAAACTGTGACAGTGTATTACTCAAATAGGGTTGTTGCTTAATGAATGTAGTCATCTTAACTATTCCTTGGCCAACATACCTGAATTGTACTCACATGTCTGCAGTCTGGGTGATTCAGGAACAGATTTTGTCAGAGATGTTTAAAATGGCAAAACAATCAATTTTAGATGATCTATGATAGCATTAATACAGATAAAGCATTAATGTAGACATCCTGAGTAGTTCTGTAGATATAATTTGAGCCATTAACTAAACTTATTCCCATCTCTTTCTGCATTAAAACCTTCCTTAAACTAGACAACAGCAAAATGGAATGTTACTTTTTTAGTTTCACCTATAGTACGGAAGGAGGTGGCTGCATAACGGGAAGAAACTAGCATGTGAAGAACAGAATTTAAAATCTACAGCAATTAACTTTGCTTTAAAAGCATTTGGGAGGGGGAAGGGACATTTGTATGCTTAACACTAGTACCTTCAAATTGAGCATCTTTCAGTCATGTGAAACTTGTTGAAAATTGTGTATGATGTGGTTTAAGGCTGATTTTTCACTTCCATTTGACTCTGAAAATCTGAAGTTTCCTTATTCTCTATAAAATTCTCAAACTGCAAATGAAACAATTTTTTTGTGGGGGCAAGGGCACTGCTATGGATTGAACCCAGGGCCTTAGCATGCCAGTTTTCTACTACTGAGCTACAGCCTCAGAGCAAGAGATTATTTTTGAACATTTTTAGACAATAGATAGAAAGACAGAAAGTACTTGAAATAGCTTCTTTTGCATCCATCCTCCTAATACTTTGCAGCCTAACCTTCCTCTTCCTATTTGTTCTTGTTGCTTGTTAGCTCTTCTATGCACATGAACATTTGAATGAGACCTGGGAGATCCCTGTGATTCTTCTGTTATCCTATATCTGCTCACATTTTCAAGTCAGCCTGATTTGTACCTCTTAAATATGGCTTATATCCACAATTCACAAACTGTGAATGATTCACAAACTGCACATAGGCACCCTAGGGTGATAGAGCAAACTCTAAGGGTATCATATGCAAGGGGAACCTTGTAACATCTATCAAATGTACAAACTACTAGCTGGAAAGTGTTCAGAATTTCAGAATTTTGTACCTTTCAGTGACCTTATACCTTTATCAAGCTGTGTTTTCAGTGATTCCTGTGATAAAAGCAAATATCCCATGAAAATCCATGTAGAAAAAGGAATGAGCATCATAATGTTGAGTTTGATTGCAGTGTGGAGAGAGTTAAGCATGCGGTAAGGTGACAGACCACAAATATTAAGTAGTTGTTAGACTTAACTATTTAGGGTTTTAAAGTTTTTTGGCTTAGGGGTGTTAGGAAAACATTACTGAAACATTCTGGGTGTTGAGATTCAAGAAAATTTGTGGATCTCTGGTTTGTATCTTCTTTCATCAGGTTCCCACTGCTGTAGTTCAACCTTTTGTCCCTTGTCTAGCCTGTAACAGCAGCCTCCATGCATGTCTCTCAGTTCTGTTGTCCCATCTGTTCCCCTTGGTGATCTAAGGTGAAGATCAATTTAGGTCTCTCCTGTGTATAAAATGGTTTAGTATCTCTTCTTTACCCAAAAAGTCATGTTAAGCTCCTTAACCTGGCTTAAAAACTCCACAGTCTAATGACTCTTGTTTAGCCCTGCCCTGTTACCTACCATTCTCTGCTCCGTGCTTCACACTCCATCGGCATCAAACTCCTTGGGTTTGTCTCTATTTTTTTTTGATTTATGCATTTTTGAGAGCAATACAACAAAAGTTTACATTGTATTAGGAATTGTGTGATGTCAACTTGTGTTACTGTTGATAATTTTTATTAGCTGGCTAAGATGTCGTCTACATTTGTTTATTGTATTATGCACTCACTGTCTAGTGGAGATACCTTTATTCTGGTTCCTGTGTCCTTTTAACATGTCTCTATCATTCTTTTTAAGGATTTGATTTCTGGTTTAAAAAAACAAAAAAAAATCCAGGTCCGTCCTGTATTTCCCCTATTCCACCTATGGAATTGGTATTTGGAAACCAAGATCTGGTTGTTAGGTGTGCTTACTCCTGCCTAGGATATTACTGCTTCTAGGCCCACTCAGTAAGCTGAGCTAATAAACATGTATATATTACATCTACAGGCACAAATCTGCATTTCCATATTTGACTCTGTTATTCTGAAGGGAATTTGGGCAACTCTAAAAAGGCTTTAAAACATGGAAGGCTGCCATGGCCCTGCTGGAGTGAGGTAGTATGAAAGGAAAACTGACTCTCAGGGAGTTTATACAGGTTGGAAAGAAATCATAACTGCAGCTAATCTGAAGTCAGTGTAGGTTAGGTTTTGCTGTATTGTCCCATTCAGTAGCAAAAGCAGTATAGCTTTATGTAGTAATTTAGAAAATTATGGCAATTATATTGTATTATAAGTAGTTAAGTTGAAGATTTTAAAGTGAGACCAAACCATTTTCAGTGTTCTGTAAAACTGACAGCTACCGATCTGCCCAGATAAGTTTTCCCCATAGAAGCATCTGATAATTGGACAAAACATAGCAATGAAATGATAGAACAGATGCTAAGATTGAAATGTGTTTCCTCTTTCAGTTTACTTTTTGGGGAAGAGTTTACTTATCAATAAAAGAAGTTTGGGGGTTGGCAGAGTGTCTCAAGCAATAAGAGCACCTGCCTAGCAAGCATGAGGTCCTGAGTTCAAACCCCAGTGCTACCAAAACATAAATAAATGCAGTGAGGACAGGTAATAAAAATAGTGATTTCCAATTTATCATTTAGTTAACCATGATTAACATTTTGGTACATATGTGAGACTATTTTAACTTAGGATACATGTGGAAATGTATATACTTAAAATTTTTTTCTAAATTTCTTTTTCTAAATGGGATCATACTACATAATTCTTTTTAAAGTTGACATCGGGCATATATTATGTTGCTACTGTTAGGGGTACACTCGTCTTGGAATAAGAGACAAACCTTTTTTTTTTTTTTTTTGGGGGTACTGGGGCTTGAACTCAGGGCCTTCACCTTGAGCTACTCCGCCAGCCCTATTTTTGTGAAGGGTTTTTCCAGATAGGGTCTTGTGAACTATTTGCCCAAGCTGGCTTTGAACTCATCGCTGACTCCTGAGTATCCAGGATTACAGGTGGGAGTCATTGGTGCCCTGCTCAAACTTAACCGTAAGAAGTTAACCAGCTTGAAGGACAGGGTTTAGGGGTATGGGGTATGTTTATTGCTTTAATTTGTTGAATGATTTTTAAAAGTTATCAAACCATCATGGAAAACTCATGGTAAATAGAGACATACACTGTATTTTTCATGACCCCATGGGTGCTCTGTTGTATGTAGGTCCTATCATCTAACTGATTCCCTCTTAATGGATATTTAAGTTAATTTCTTTATGTTAGTGACACTATAACACATGTCTTTGTTTACTTGCTTTTTTACTTCCTTAGAGTATATTTTTAGAATTGGAATTTTTAAAACATTGTCTTTTTATTTATTTATGTATTTATTTAGACAGTACAGTTCACTTCTAAACACTTCAGCTTGCTTCTAAGAGCAACAGCAATGGTGATACAATTATACTTTAGAAATTTCCTGACATGTTCAAATAGGTGCCTATATAGCTTTCTTTTAAAGAGGATCACACATTGTATTTGATCTAAAACAGTTCCTCAGTCTTTCTTTTTTTTTAATCTTTAATGACAGTATTTTTTAAGAGTCCAGGACATTACTATTTACAATGGTTAGATTCAAATGATACATTTTGGCAGAAATACTTCATAGGTGATATTGACCTGTGGTTCCTAGAACATTGCATGTGTCAGTTTGTCTGGTATCAGTGATGTTAACTTGGTCCCCTGGTTAGGGTAGTTTTGCCAGAGTTTCCCATTGTAAAGGCACCCTTGCTCCTTTGAAGTTAATCATTTATTGATGATTCTTACCAGAATCAATTTCAGTGTCAGTTTGTCTAAAGTAAGATTCATCTATACTTCGTAGAGCGCTCAGTTTTAATTTACTGAGCATTTTGTTATTGGAACAAGTGTGGGCCCAAATAGGGAAGTCAGAGGCTAGGAATATTGTTCATGTGAGCTCAGAGGTCATGAGGAGTATATTTCAGGTAGTCATGGAGGGGGTTCGCTTCATGTCTCCCCAGTTGTGTGATGCTATAGCCCCTGCAAGGAAGTGTACTCAGGGAAACATTAGGAAAGTTCCTGACTGGTGTCTCTGATGGAATGGTAAGGTTCTTGTGGTGCCTACATCTACTTAAGAACATTTGAAGCTGCTCTATATGCCTGACTATGTAATTGTCATGATAATCTAGTGAAGGTTGTTTTTGCCTTGAGTCATAATTGAATATGCTTCTGACATGGATTCTTTTTTTCTAGTGGGGGAATTTGTAAGTGATGTTCTTCTAGTTCCAGAAAAATGTCAGTTTTTCCACAAAGAGAGGATGGATGTGTGCGAGAATCACCAACACTGGCACATTGTAGTCAAAGAGGTAAGAGAATGGATGGGAAGAAGTCAAGTGTTGCATATATTGGAAGAGAAGATGACATTGGTCTTCAAACCTCACCATGCCTTTCACTTATTTTATTTAATTCTGTTTTTTGGGGTAGATGTTTTCCTAGGGAAGTACAGCACAGATAGTCCAGCTCCTAAAGTTAAAGCTATTATGGCACTGGGGTTAAGAGGTAGCACAGTTGTTTAGCATGTGCAAGGCTCTGGGTTCCATTCCTAGTATTATTGAAAAGAAAGGAAGGAGGGAGGAAGAAAAGAATGAAAAGGAGGGAAGGAAGAAAGGAAATGAAACTTTAGTGACTTTTCTCACTTCATTTGGGCTGGGGTGCTCAGTAATGGAGTGTTTGCTTAAGTGTGTGTAATGGCCTGGGTTTGGACTTGAGCAGGATAAAGAAAAAGATAATAGAGGCAGTTGAACAAGAGTACTGTATGCTGTCTCAGGGCTCCCAAGAAAGCATCCTGGACTCTAAGGACCATGTAAATAATAGCCAACTCTTGAAAACCTGGACCTGGACTTGCAGACTGACAGGCGTGGGTGTCATTTCATTCTACAGTAGTAGAAATTAGCACTGATCACATTTAACTGGTGTTGACAATTACCAGAAAAAACTTCTTAATTTTTTTTTTTTTAAGTTTGGGCTTTCAATGTTTTTGGCTTAGGTGATGTTTTAAGAAAAATTTATAAATCTTCTTAAATAATAGCATCATAACTTTTTGTCAGAAAAGTTGTGTGTCCATAAGAAAAAGCATAACTTAGTGATTTAATAAGGGTTTCTTTTGGATAAAACTAGGAATCAGAGAGTCTTTGGATTATGTTCTGATGTAGGCTGTGGGTTTCTTTAGGCATGTCTGACTCAGGGAATGACCTTATATAGCTACGGCATGCTGCTACCCTGTGGAGTAGACCAGTTCCATGGCACTGAATATGTGTGCTGCCCTCAGACAAAGATTATTGATTCTGTTGACTCTACTGTGTCTAAAGAAGAGGAGGAAGAGGAGGAAGAGGATGATGAAGAGGAAGACTATGATAATTATAAAAGGTAAATGCTTGTCATAAACTTTGAAATAATTTTTCCTATTTGTTAGCCCATCTATGAAAATGGCTGTTAGTTTCTCACTGCTGAAACAATGTGGACAACTCCACATTGTGATGCTGGAGTCAATTAAGGCTGCATTTTATTCTGCCATACCTGATCACATGAGAACGTGTGACTTTTGTGTCTCTATTGTTCAGGGCCACATTATTTTCTGCAGGTTAATGCAGTCTGCTCACTAACTCTTCCCTTTTGCTGATGTAACTGGGCTGAGGGCCTTAGTGGCACAGTATATGTTAGTTGAGCTTATTTCCTGTCTCTGTTTTTGTGTTTCAGAATGGGCAGTCGTAGTTTTGTGCATAGGAACTGGCGTTAACCTTCTTTCTTTCTTTCTTTTTAAATTGTGACTTTCAGTGAATTTCCTACTGAAACAGATTTGGAAGACTTCACAGAAGCAACTGTAGACGGTGATGATGATGATGATGATGATGACGACGACGACGATGACAATGATGATGAAGGGGAGGAGGTGGTGGAAGACCGCGATTATTACTATGACACTTTTAAAGGAGATGACTACAATGAGGAGAACCCAACTGAACCCAGCAGCGAGGGCAGTATTTCAGATAAGGAAATTGCTCACGATGTTAAAGGTAACCTAGTGCAAAGCCATGGCTTAAAAATTCACTTGGTTCTTAAATACTTAGAATTTGTACTGCATTCATCATTCATCACAGGTAAGTGTTAGAAGGAAAGGCTTTGTGCTGAAGGAGAATCCAGCTCTCCAGGGCAGTGGTGGAGCCCTTGTAGCAGTGAGCAGGGAGGCACGTCCAGGAGACATGCAGATTTGAACCAGAGAAACAGTTTGTATTATAAGGATTTAATTAAACAATAAAAGACAACATAGTCCTCCCTTCAGCAGGATTCTTCCACATCCAGTCTGAACTGCTCTCTCCTCCCAAGGGGAGCTCCTCTCTTCAGTACTACTTAAGCGCCAGCTTTCTAGAATGGAATAACTTTCTCTCAGTTTTTTTCCCCCCTTGATTGTATTCTAGTCTATATTCCAGGTGTTTGTAGCTAGTAGGGCAAAATTGAATGATCCTGTCAATCAAAAAAGGAAAAGGTTGTGATAGTTGCAGAGCCATTTACACATAGCCTCTCCTGATAGTATATTTCAAGCCAATTAAGATGACGATTTGAAGAATTATTTAGGGCCCAACCAAGAGGAAACTATTTAACCTGTATAGAAATTTATGGTTCACCTTGGAGAACTTGAAAAATGGGAAGGCTAATTCTTACCGGGTGCACAGTCTTTGCTAGGGGTATCACCACTTAAAATGAGCTTTCCACTTGCAGTTGACTCCTTTGGTCTTTGAAACCACCAAAATAGCCAAATCAGGCAACTTTCTCTACTGCACAGATCAGAAATGTGAGGAGCCATGAGACAAGGAATTCCTTTATGTCAACCTATGTTATCAAGCTAGACTTGATGCCAAAAAAAATAGTAATAATTGTTGCTAAATGTCTTCATCACATGGAAAGTGACTGTCCACAGAACGCCTGACCTGTGTTGGTGAGTTAGGTTAGCCAGAGCCTTCAGGTCCAGTTGTTCCTGCCATGGCCAGCCTGTATCACTGTGAAGCATTTGAAGCACTGCCTCTGCCCTGCTGATACTCTGACCATTTTTACACAGCTGTCTGCTCCCAGGAGGCGATGACGGGGCCCTGCCGGGCTGTGATGCCTCGTTGGTACTTCGACCTCTCCAAGGGAAAGTGCGTGCGCTTTATATATGGCGGCTGCGGCGGCAACAGGAACAATTTTGAGTCTGAGGATTATTGTATGGCTGTGTGTAAAGCGATGAGTAAGTCCCGCCTTGTGCTGGCCCTGTGCAGCAGCGCTGTCCTGTCCAGCGTTCTGTCTCTCCCGGCTGTCCTTGTGACTACATCTGTGTCGTGTTTCCACCGACTCAGGTGTTTGCTGTCAGTCGTTTCCCCTCATCTTTGTGCTTTTAGACTGAGGCTTTGCTTTCCTGTTGGCAGTTGTGAGCTCAGTTTTCGTGTCCCGTGCATCCTGTGTGTCTGCTGATGGTTGTTGGTGGTAGTGTGTTTGGTGATAGTGTGTGCCTTTCCTGGTGCAGTGGGTAGCCTAGTCCAGGGTCTTTTCTGATTGGCCTCGGGGTCTGAAGGCTACAAGGGTACCTCAGTATCTGTTGGGAAGGCAGCTGAGCCCTGGGCTGTCTGGTCAAAAGACACCAAAGGGTAACAAGATAGCCATGAGTTCTGTACATGCTCATGGCCCAGACGTTATCTCTTCTTTGACCTACCTTGTCACTGACCCCTGTGCTACAAAACCTGTCAGAACACTCAACTCTTGGAAGGAGTGACAATAGTTTACTTATGGGATTCCAGAATTGAAATATGCACTCTGAGGAGGAGCTCTGCAGTCTCCAAGATGTCATGACTGTTTCTCCAGTATTTGGCAACACTGAATCACACAGGAATTTAGGAAGTGAGGGAATTGGAGTTTGTGTGTTGTTTTGGTCTCAGAAAGTGCATTGCTTCCATTGAGATGGGTGTATGTTAAACATATGTGAGAAAAGAACTTTTCCTTTTTTTCATGGTTACTTCTTTCCTTTTAAAGACCCTGTCTGTCTTACCTTGCATTAATAACCATGTGTTAAGAAAATCCTTAGGTCAAGCATTTTTCCTTGGTTCTTGCTCTGGAATTCATCAAAATAATGAGTTGCTTCCTGTTTCTGGTATTTGCTTTTTTGGGTTTTGACTATAGCTTCTGATAGCTTTTCATTCAGGTACCTTCTTCCTTCTTCAAAAGAGGTTTAAAATCTTAATCTAATATGGCACGATTTCAGTCTTCCACTCCAGCTTCTCCACCAGGGAAATGCTGTTTTTATTTGATGGATTTGAAAAGGTAAAAGAGAATTTGGTGCATTATCTTTATTTGTTCAGGAAAGATTTAGAGATAGATATTATTGTGATATTTACTACTTTGTAAAGGTACTCAAACTAATTATCAACAAAAAACTGTTCTGAGTTGAAGCTTGAGGAATTGGGGCCCTTTAAAGAAACCACATCTCTACCCAGGAATCAGCTACATCGTGCTTTGAGACACGGTGAATGGCAGTTCTGTAAAATGGTTTCCTTTGACATAGGGGAGATTGCTGAGGAGAAGCATTGTGTTTAGGTATTTGCAGGGACCCTGGCTGGAGGGCTGGATTGTGTAGAAGCATCATGTTTCCAGTGGTCACATTTGTGTTCCTCTTTAAAAGGTACTGGGGCCAGTGGATGTGATGTGCTGGCTTCATGAGCTGTTGTGATTCTACTCTGAGCTCTTCTTGGCTTTTGAAGTAATACTCTAGGCTTGCTGTCCTGTTCCTCTTTTGTTCCCAGGGAATATGGAAGCACATTGTGTTTTGTATTACTGTCCATCCAGAGATATGCACTGTCCATAGCACATGAAGGTTCATGCTGCAGACGTGTTGCTGATGACCATGTGCATACTGGCACAGATGATCTTGAAACTCTCCCTCTCCAAACATTGAGTCTCTTGGGGAATGTGATTTGCTAAGCAATAGATACTGATTCAAGTAATCTGGAAGTTAGATATCGAGATCCTTTTAAACTTATGTATGACTCAAATATTCTTCACGAAGTTTTAGTTTTTAGGTTTATTAAATAAAAAGGAACAAAGAAAAGATGTTCTGATAGAAAAACTTTGGAGTGGCTGGCTAATTTCTAGCCATATTCATAGTTACACAATTGTTCAGTGTATTACAATTATGTCATTCTGAAAATTAGGTGAATTTGTTTCTGAATTTAACAGTAGTTGGATTTTGGTGTTTGTGCTCTACTTGGCTCCAAAATTACGTCATTACGAACTAAGCAAGTTACACATCATTTCTCCTCAGTTTGGGAAATCTCCAGTGAATTAGGCTTATAAGTATTTCCACGAGCGGTCCATAGGTATTTGAGAGTCTTAAGTAGACTTGGCCTCTCCTCAGTCCTTTCCCTTTGGAGGATAAACTCCACTGTATTCATACTGGCCTGGGGCCCATAAGAACTTATGCCTGATCAACAGTGAGGTGCGGGGTGTCATTTCCAGTGGACTTGTGCTCTCAAACCTTTCCAGATCCCTTTGTCAGTGTTATGAATCAAATAAGCCCTAGGTACCTTTACATCAGTGGAAGGTGTCCTTGTCAAGTGTAGAGACTTAGGTCCCCCCTTCCAATTAGTCCTGTTGTTGGAGGTGGGTATACAACTCTTTCAGTGATGCTAAAAACTCCTAATTATATAGCTAGAGGGGGGTGTGTGTGTGTGTGGCTCAAGTGGTAGAGTGCCTAGCAAGCACAAGGGCCTGAGTTCACGCCCCAGTACCAACAAAAAAGAAAACACACACACACACACACACACACACACACATGTATATACATACACACATATACACAGAAAGAGGGAGGGGTTTGGACTTTCTCTATCCAGCCTGTATGTAAAGAATGCTCAATTGAACCAGTTCCTAAAGTAAGTTAAAACCTAAAGATTGCTGTAAGAGAGAAAGGGACTTGAGTAATAAGTTACTTAAAAAGTGGAGATTTTTGTGGAAGTGCCTCTACACTTCGTTAATTTCAGTCCTGGTCACTGTTTAGATTCCATAAGTGACAAACAGTAAGGTAGCTGTATTTTACACTTTCAGGTTTTAAGTACTGAAGGGAAAGTGTAGAAGTAGCTTATCTCTTTTTTTACCCTGCCTGCTGTCCTCAGTAGATGCCTCCTGGGTGCGGAAGATACCAAGGGGTTGAGCTATCAATAAATGCTGCATTAGCATGGACAGACACGGTTGATGGATATGATACAGAGAAGATTGCCCACTGTAATCCAACAAAGTGAAGCCTTGGCAGGCAGCAGCACCCTACCCTTTTGTTTAGCCACAAGACAAATTGAGTCCATCCTGCAGGGCCTGAGCTTGGTTTTCTTCCTAGAGTGTTGTGTAGCTTTAACAGTGTGCCTGACTCCCAAAGAGAATTCCTCTGTAATTTTATTTCAGTTCCCCCAACTCCTCTGCCAACCAATGATGTTGATGTGTATTTCGAGACTTCAGCAGATGATAACGAGCATGCTCGCTTCCAGAAGGCTAAGGAACAGCTGGAAATTCGGCACCGCAACCGAATGGACAGGGTAATCTTGCCGACTTCTTTATCTACATAGTGCTTGGCATTAACTAGCATGGTTATTTGTGGTGTCAGATCAAACCCAGGGCATGCTAGGCAAGCACTCTGAGTCATGTTTTTTTATGGTTGAAGAAAGCGACACATCTCCCTAGACTGTCATGCTAAATGTATAAAAGTTGAGTTTTGAGAGTATCAGTGGAGCTTCCTTCTGAGTGGGTGAGTCCTTTCCCACCCCATCTCTGTGATGCTGTAATTATGTTGTCACATTAGAAATTGCTGAGCAGAAACTATTTTCACTTGTTACTCTTCTGTTTTTTTAATTTTATAAATTTAAAAATTTTTTAAAGAAGTAAACTTTATGTCACTTCTACAAATAGAAGACTAGTATCATTTGCCATGAAACTAAGATAACTAAAAATAGATTAGATGAAGACAAACATGTATCAGTACATTGTAGCTGTATACTATTGGATTGGAAGGTTCTAAATATCAGGGACTTTTCATTTCTTAAAAAGGTTCTAAGTGTAGAGCAGCAGGTACCAAGAGTACAACCTCTTCCTGAACTCACTCAAGATTAAAAGGAGGTTGTCGTAGGAATGCCTTGTTAGGTCTGAGCTGACCCAAGCATCTGCACATCACCTGTGCTGGGATTATCCTTTGGGAAGTGCTCATTTCATTTTTTCTTCATCAGTTCTGAGAAATAGGCATTAATCTCAGTTTTTTGCCAAGGAGACTAAGGCACAGAGACCTAAGCAACTTGCCCAAGGTTATATAACAAAGAGGTCATGGAATAGAGACTTTTTCTAGAGCTAGCTTGAGGCCTAGAATCTTCTGAGTAACACCCTTGAGCTCCTAAGGGATCATATGATTCGGTTTCCTTTTGCACAGTTTCCGATCTTGGATTCAGCGCCTGGCAATATTTTTAGAAAATGAGGAAGTTGTTTCAGAAGATTATTCTGGTGTTTTTGACCTTTGTTCTAGGTAAAGAAGGAATGGGAAGAGGCAGAGCTTCAAGCTAAGAACCTCCCCAAAGCAGAGAGACAGACCCTTATTCAGGTAAGATGCCTTTCCCGGGGACAAAGCATCCAGCTGACCAATTGAAAATACAGTCAGAGCCAAACTCACAGAGAATTTGAATTTGACACCTCCTTTTAGCCAAGGGCTTAAGTTACAAGGAAGTTGTAACTGACCTATTTTTCTTTTTCACCTCTAGTATTGCTCACCTATGGTAGAAGGAAACCAAACCCTCTTCCCAGAGCATACCTAATTCATGCCAGGAAGTAACCTTAGCTCAGCTGCTGTCTGTTAATTCTGCTTTCCTAGCAAAAAGTCCTCTCTCGTCTTTGTTGTTGGACTGTGACTTGTTTTTCTAACATACTGAATTTTTTTATGAGGGGTGACAGAACAAACTATAAGTCAAAATGCAGAAAGCAAAGATCTCTAATACAAGTTCATCTCTTAGTAAAAAATTGAACCTTAAAATCATAGCAACAAAGTACATTTCACTTCCATAGAAGACTTACTAGTATCAGGGATGGCAATTTTATAAGACTGATTGGGCTTTGAAAACCTGATTACATTTATTTATTTATTTATTTATTTATTTATTTATTTTTGTTGACATTTCAGCCCAGGGGTCACACACACTAAGCTTGTGCACTGCTTCTGAGCTATATCCCTAACCCCTCATTACATTTTAATTCAGTTTGTATTTAACTGAATTCTTCCTTGTGATACTGTTTTTTTAGAGGGCCTTTACTTTATCAGTCACTTAGAAAATCTAGTTTTGTTTCCTATACAAGCCAGTGTGTCTTATGCAGGGAAATGTATTTGAACAGCCTTGAGCTGGACCTGTAAGCCTAGCCAGACAGCTCACAGACAGCTTGCCCTTCACAACTTAATTTGTTGTTATTTTCAGTATTGGTGTTTGAACTCAGGACCTTGCACTTGCTAGACAAGCACTTTATCACTTTGAGCCATTCCTTCAGTCCTTTTGTTTTTTTATTTATTTTTTCTTTTGCTTTCTTAGTTTGATTTTCAGATATAGTCTCATACTAACTCTTCCCAGACTGGTCTCAAACTGTATTCTCCTATCTTTACTTCCTGAGTAGCTTGGACCACAGGCATTTTTGAGAATGGGGTGGGTCTGGATAACTTTTGTGTGGGCTGACCTATTTCTACCACGATCTCTCTGCCTCCAGAGTAACTGAGACCCTTCACAACTTTAACAGGTATTATTCAGCATAACCTATGACATAACTGGATTACGCTTCAAAATATATCTTCTGTTGGTCACTTGGTTTCAGGGGTTGGAAGCTGGCACCTTCCTATAACACAAAAAAGGCAATATTTCTTTTACTGTAGTACACATTGAAAAACCAGATATTGGGCTTACAGCAGTATTAATTTCAATTAAGGAAATGTTAAAGAGTCCCTTTAACAATGAACTTGATTTTTTAGGTAAGAAAGTATAAAGCATACCTTGATCCTACCCTGGCTTTACTCTCTGAAACTTCTACTGTCTTGCGTAGACACAGGGCAATGAGAAGCACTGAAGTTTAAGAGTGCTTGCTTACACTTCCTCCATGTGCCATAAGTTACGTATTGTTCCTTCTTTCATAGCATTTCCAGGCTATGGTTAAAGCTTTGGAGAAGGAAGCAGCCAGTGAGAAGCAGCAGCTCGTAGAAACTCACTTGGCTCGAGTGGAAGCCATGCTGAATGACCGCCGACGGATGGCTCTGGAGAATTACCTAGCTGCCCTGCAGTCTGACCCACCTCGGGTGAGTTGTAGTCAGATCCAAGTCATTGATTAGTTATATTCTCAGTTGCCAGCCCTGAAGCCGTATACTTAATGTAATCCCAATGAATGGCATACAGGTTGGTAAAAATTACATTTTTATGACATGTTTTTTGGTGGTTCCAGGGTTTGAACTCAGGGCCTCACACTTGCTAGGCAAGTACTCTACCTCTTGAGCCACACTCCTAGCCATGACAAGTTTTGCAAAATTGAAGGTGTAAGGAACATAGACTAGGAAAGAAAAGATGCTGTATTCTAGTACCTACATGTATGAGCTTAGCATTACATTATTTCATGCTTGTATATGCCATTTGTGATGTGCAAGTGTTTTATACTAGGAAAGCATAACCTCAGGGTACTGGCTGGGAATTAATACAATTCTTGAATTTTCTGTGATGTCCTTAGTTTCAAAGAATGAAAACAACATTTGAAGAAAAGGGAAAGTAATTTATATTGAAACTCTTGTGAGTGGTCTCAACCTTTTCCTTAGCCCTTCACTCTACCCTGCCTTTCTTTGGGGGAATGGAAAGTAGAGGATGGGAGAATATTTGTGCCCTCTTTGAGTAAACTAGTGAAGTCTTCTCTTTGGGGCAACAAAGGCACCTTGGTGGTATTCAGGTGTCAGAGACCAAGCCAGGAAAGAAGTCAGATGGGAGGATGGTGGTGAGCTAGAGAGTCTGGAGAATATTATTTGTTAGGGAGCTAATGTAACATTGGAACTTAGTTCTTGGTATTTTACCCAGAAATATAGTTTGTTTCTTGGCAAGCTAAAAAAAAAAAAACTTTCAGAGCTACATCTTTCTTTTTTGTCAGTTCTGGTGTTTAAACTCAGGACCTTGCACTTGCTAGGCAGGTGCTCTACCACTTGAGCCACATTTCCAGTCCTTTTTTACTCTAGTTATTTTTCAGGTAGGGTCTCATGTTTTTGCCCAGGGCCAACCTCAGACCATGATCCTTCTACCTACAATCTTCCATGTAGTTGGTAACAGGTGTGCACCACAATTGCCTGGCTTATTGAGATGGGGTCTTGCCAACTTTTTGCCAGATCTGGCTTTGAACTGTGAGCCCCTGTTCTCCCCGACCATGCCCAGCCTTACAGCTTTCATTCTTGTGCCTAGGTAGGTTTTACATTCTTGAATGAACTTTTTAAGCTTTTGTTTTCCTTAACTATTTTGAATTCTCTACTCTCTGGTAACACAACCATTCTCTCTTGCAGCCCCATCGAATTCTCCAAGCCTTGCGTCGTTATGTCCGTGCTGAGAATAAAGATCGCCTACATACCATTCGTCATTACCAACATGTGTTGGCTGTTGATCCAGAAAAAGCAGCACAGATGAAATCCCAGGTACACTAGACCCAAATTACTGCCTCGAGTGTTTCTAGTGGGGCGAATGCCTGAATTGATGATAGGACAGCACTGCTGTTTGTGCTTCTTATTAGTTTTTAGAAGGTAGTTTTTGATTTCCCCAAGATGGTATGAATTGGTTGCAATTTTTAAAATACCTTTTCCATACTTTATAGTAACTACTTTGTATTTAAAGTTTCTGAAAATTTAGACATGTGATTATATTGAAGAGATAAGTTAATTTCTAAATCAATTTTTATGTCAGTTTATTTTAATTTAGAATGTCACCAGAATCAATATTTGAAACCTTTTTCTAGGCATCTATATCGAGCAGATCTTTAAAATTGTTGGGCTGGAAGTGTAGCTTGCCAGCATGTGTAAACCCCTGGGTTTAACTCCAGTACTGCAATGCAAAACAAAAATGGTTTCTTCCTGTTTTATACATTATAGTTCTTGTCTAGACAGACATGTTTACATTTCTAGGTTTTGTCCCTTGCTTGGTTCAGCTTTGTTCTTCAATCACCTGTACAGGTTTGTTTCTGGTTCCACTTTCATTTTGGCATTGTCCATCTGAGTTTTACTCTTCTCATGTATTCCTAGAAAATGAACTTGCCTACAGGACTGATAGCTTTGTTTTAAATCAAGAAGTCTAGCAGCTCAGCCTTTGTTAGTTTTCCAAGAAGGTCTTGCAATAACATACTGATAATATTTTATTTCCTTCCACATTTTACAATCTGATTTTACATTTACATGCTGATTATGAATGCCAGTTTACATGGGACATGCTTATATAACATGGGAGGTACTTATACAACATGGGTCCTAAACTCATTGTCCTAGAAACTCACTCTCCCAACTTCTTGTGGCCACATGTTATAATCTTAAGATAATTTTCCAGAGGTCTTACGAATATTGGAGCCAAGTTTTGCTCCATTTATTGGGCAGATGTTTATGTGTCACAGTCTCCTTGCCAAATTCCATAGCAGCATCTGATGACGGAGAATTGAGTCTCTTGAGTACCATTGAGCTGCTTGCAAACTGTTACAAAATTATTGTTATGGTGGTGGTTGTTTGCAGTACTGGAGATTGAACCCAGGGCCTTGTGCCTGCTAGGCAAACACTTAGCCATTGAGCTACATTCCCAGCCCTAAAATTAATCTTATTAATGTAAGATGAATTATTTTCCTTAAATGTACAGAGTTTACATTAGAAGTTGGATGTTGGGGGAATAAAAGAACTTAGGCTCTCGAAGTATGGGAAATGGAAAGGGAATGATTCTGAGGCCCCAGTAGGCATTGGTGTAGGTTGCAGTTAGGTAAGGTTTGCTTCATGCTGGATGGAGTAGAAGAGAGGGAAAGGAATCCTTGAGTACCTCTGAAAAGACGGGGAAAAATGGATATTGTTGGGTTAGTTAGGCCTGTCGGGTCTACTTGATTAAAAAACAAAAACAAAACCTTATTTCCCAAGCTTCTAAGAAATTATATTGTATTTTACCAAAAAATATCCTGTTTTGTGTGGTGATAATAGCAGGGGAGACTTTGGTTGTTGGGTGAATGGATGGGTGGGTGGGTGGATGGATGGGTGGGTGGGTGGGTATTGTTTGTGGTGCTGGAGTTCAAGCCCAGGGCTTCATGCTTGGTAGGAAAGTGCAACACGTCCTTGCCCTGACTAAGGATCCGTTATTAGTGGATCCCTGTAAGCAAGACTGAGATGTCACACCACGTAAAATGGGAAGTAGAACTCACCCATAATAGAAATCTTTGGGGAGACCCATCTCTCCTGTGATCTGTTTGCTGACTGCCTCTAATTCTAGGAGAGCAGGGCCATTGAACTGCACTGACCTTTTGCCTGTTTCCTATTGTTATTTGAACACTAGAAAGACTTAAGATACTCTACCAATTGTAGGTTGAGTACCCCTTACATAAAATGAGACCAGAAGTATTTCTGATTGGGGATTTCTTTTATTTTATTTTACTTTTTTTGATTTTGGAATATTTACTATATCCATAATGAAATACACTGGGATGGGACACAACAGGAAGTTCATTTCTTTCATGTGCAACTTTAAACACAGCCTGAAAGTATTATTATTATTATTTTTTTTTGGCAATACTGGGGTTTGAACTCAGCGTTTTGCACTTGCTAGGCAGGCACTCTACCACTTGAGCAACTCCACCAGCCTTTTTTTGAGTTGGGTATTTTCAGGATAGGGTTTCAAGAACTATTTTCCTGCGCTGGCCTTGAATTGTGATTCTCCTGATCTCAGTCTCCTGAGTAGACAGGATTATAGGGGTGAGCCACCAGTGCTGTCCCCGAAAGTAATTTTATGGAATATTTTAGCTTACTTGTATTTTGACTGTGACCTTCCCATGAATTCAGACATGCAGTTTTCCACTGTGGCATCATGTCAGCATCATGTGTTTCAGATTTTGGAGCATTTCTGATTTTGGAGTAGAGGTACTCAACCTATATACCTTTTAAAATATTTGCTTGCCTGGGTGTAAGTGATATGGTGTGTTTTTGCACCCCCTCATGTATGTAGCTCAAGGGTTACTATAAAGACATTATATTTATTCAGTCTTTTTTTTTGTGGTCCTGGGAGTTTGAACTCAGGGCCTCATACTTGCTAGGCAGGCACTCTACCACTTGAGCCACTCCACCAGCCCCTATAAAGATAGTAATTTCCACTATTCCATCCTGTGGTTTTTGTCCTCCCCTGGGTATGTGAAGCACCCTCTCTAACATGGTTCCTTAATTCATCGAAGGAAGTAAAATAGTATCAACACATGCTGAGACAGTGGGTAGTACCATTACATTTTTCCCCAAGGCAGTCACTCTTCTGCTTTTCCATCAGTGTACTTGATTGATAGAATGGCAAATATAAAATTAGGTTGCTTTCATCTTTGCTTTTAAAGGTCAGAGGTGTATCAATCTACAGTAAAAGCACCTTAACATTTAACTTTGTTTTTCATTTTGACCCTTCACATTAATGGCTTTGAATACACACAATCCATTGGCTTCGAGCACCCCCTTTAGGAGAAGCTCAGTGACTGCTAGTCACCAGGCAGGGATGGCTTGGTATACTGCCAATGTGAACTGCAAGAACATGCTTGACTGTGTCACTGGGGCAGATCACCTTTCAGTTCCACCCTGACTAAATACTCTTGGGTGAATAACCTTGGAGCTTTTGCCTTCAGAAGAGGTAGTGAGCGATACAGTAGATAAGTCTTCCTTTAATAGTCATAAAATCAGGTTTATTTGCACCTCAGCATGATTTTTTTAAAGAATAGTAATTTTGTTAAATAGGAATAAACTAATTCTGTTGTTCACAAGACATACTCATTTTAAGCAGTTTCTTCACTAAGCAAAATCCATAAATGGTTGAATGGTCCTATCTTCCCATGAAGTTACTTTTCTGCTAGTGATTTTGATCTGTTTTTATCCTTATTTAATCTTACCAGGGGTAAGAACTAAGTATTGTTGTCAGTAATTGGCCTTGTGTGAATATCAAACCAGTAACTGCCTAGTGAACTTTTTGTTTTGTGTGACTAGGGCTTGAACTCAGGGCTTCCTGCTTGCAAAGCAGGTACTCTACTGCTTGAGCCATACCTCCAGTCCATTTTTGCTCTGGTTATTTCAGAATCTCACAAACTCTTTGCTTGGGCTGGTCTTGAACATCAGTTCTCTCCATCTCAACCTCCCAAGTAGCGAAGATTACAGATATGAGCCACAGATGGCTGACTGAGCATTTTTTAAAATAAAATTTCTTTTGCCTTGGCACTTTCTCTATAAATAAATCTCACATCATCCATTATATGCTGTTCAAACACGTTCTTATACTTAAGTGGTCAGTAAATATGGCGTGGGGATTAATATTTCCTCTCAGGCTACTCTATTGGACTCTAGATACCCTGTGAACTAGACTTTCTGAAAGTGTGTGTGGATGTCCTGCCTCCTGGTTTGGTTGTTTTCAGTGACAGTGTCTCTCCACCATAACTGTGCTTCCAGGTGATGACACATCTTCATGTAATTGAAGAAAGAAGGAATCAAAGCCTCTCTCTGCTCTACAAAGTTCCTTTCGTAGCCCAAGAAATTCAAGAGGAAATTGGTGGGTACTGACCAGAGCAAGGCTGGGTGAGATTTCTTGCTGAGGCTTAGGAGTGATGGCTGGTCAAAATGAGACAAATAGGAGCAAGCAAGGCCAGTGAGGTAAAACATTAGCACATCATGGTTTCAGAAATCTGGAGGCTGTTGGAGCTTACATGACAAAGTCATGGAGTTGCCAAGGACAGACATACTGGCCAGGAGCCACAGAACCTTGAGTTTTGTTGACCTTCACTCTTACTAATGGAAGAAAATATTAGGGTATAAAATTGTAGGAGCTTGGGATTTTTCCTGATACCATTTTTCCCTTAATTGCTGATATATTTCAAGGCACCCTGATTAACACAAATTCCCACCTCCTTTCCCTCTGTCATTCTTCTTTATTCAGTAACTTTTATTAAGTCTACCACTGTGTGTCCCAGAGTAAAATGGTTTACTAGTGGGCAGTATCAACTAGAGTCCCAATTATAGTAGGAGAGAAACACATAATAAAGCAAAAAAACAAGTATCAGATGATTATAAGTAGTGAGTGGAGTCTAATAACCAGGATGGAATGCTGGGGAGTGCTCTACAATAACCTGAGATCCAAATAAGCTTGAGCTATTTATGCAGAGATCATAAAGGAAAACTTGTGGTTAGAGGCCCAAAGTTTAAGTCAAACAGTGAATTTGAGTGGCCACAGTGTGGCTAGAACTTAGCAAGAGGGGAATGGGCCAAAGAAATAGGGGAGGGTTCAGATCGTGAAGTGAAATCAAGGAGTTTGGGTTTTATTCTAGGATAGTGGGAAGCTGTTTAGTGGGCTTTAAGCCTGGGAGTGACTAGATCTGAAGTTTGCTTTACAAGCAAACTTATTTGTTATGCGGGACCAGAGCACCTACCCTTGCAAAACAGGTGCTCTACTGCTACTCCACTCCATCTGCTCTAGTTATTTTGGAGATGGGGGTCTCACAGTCACAGACTACTTGCCCAGACTCGCCTCAGACTGTGATCCTTCCAGTCTCATCCTCCCAAGTAGCTAGGATAATAGGTGTGAGTCACTCCAAATGTAAACTTTAAAAAAAAAAAAATGCAGCTGCCACATAGAGAGCTGATTAAAATTGAAACTAGCCAGGAAGCCATTATAAAAATCCAAAAGAGATGGTGGTAGTGTGTGCTGAGATGGGAAAGAAAAGGTAAGAGACGTCTGTAGGTTGGGTGCAGGGATGTGGTGAGGGTTGGAGTGTAGGTGAGGGAGGAAAAATCACCAAGGGTAATGCTTAGAGTATTATGGCAAGCAGCTAGGGGAATTGACAGCGGTGCCAGTGTTTACTAAAGCGGGAAAGAAAATAGAGAATTCACAGTACAGGCCAAAGTGGGGAGTGCTGTTGGACATTAAGTGGAGGTCTAAGGAAAACTGTCAGATGAGGTAGAATTTGGGTAGTAGCTACCAGATACAGGTAGCTACTGTATTACTGGATTAAGTGGATGGTTTTTAAAATTGACTTTGGAGGCCAAGAGTCAGTGGGTCACGCCTGTAAGCCTAGCTATTCAGGAGGCAGAGATTAGGAGGATCGAGGTTCAAAGCCAGCTATGGGCAAATAGTTCATGAGACCCTGTCTTGGAAAAAACCCATCATGAAAAAAAGGGCTGGTAAAGTGCTCAAGCAGTAAGAGTGCCAGCCTAGCAAGCATGAGGCCCTGAGTTCAAACCCCAGTGGGTCAAAGGGTATGAAATTGCAATTATGTTGGTTTAGTAAGTTTAGAGCTGGACTACAGATGAGCGCTATAGTTAATATATTGTATGCTGAAAATGAAAATTTGCTGGGAGAGTAGATTTTAAATGTTCTTACCAGTAGAAAATGATTGGGCAGTGAAGGACATGTTAATTTGCATAACTAGTAATCATTTCACCATGTATATCAAAGCATATATCATACATATATACAATTTTTCAAAAACGGACCAAGTGTGATACTAGAGGAGAGCGCTTAACCAAAGAGTGGAGATAAAGGAAGAGGGAGGGGATGCTGGGCTGGAGGTCTGGGGTCCTCCTGCTGGGGCTCTGTGGTGTATGCTAGAGTTAACGGAGGATCTTTGAGCGGGGAGCCAGGAGTGGTTATCTGGGTTGCAGGCTGATGGGACACTCTGAAAGATCTAGAACCCTGGAATGACAACAAGTAGCCTTTCTCAGACTGCTGGTCCTACACATAGACACTAAGTCCTTGTGAAAGTTGCATATCTGGTCTCTGTCCTGTCTTTATCAGATGAGCTCCTTCAGGAACAGCGAGCAGACATGGACCAGTTCACTGCCTCTATCTCAGAGAGCCCAGTGGATGTCCGGGTGAGCTCTGAGGAGAGTGAGGAGATCCTGCCGTTCCATCCTTTCCATCCCTTCCTGCCCTTACCTGAGAATGAAGGTGTGTATGGTCCTCAGTGCCACTGATTGGCCCCAGGGTAGGGGAGAATGAAATTTAAAAACTGGGGATCAGTTTTTTGAAACCAGGTTGAGTTGGGGAGGTTGTTTTCCTGGTGAGAGGCAAGGGAAGAGAAATTGAATTTCCCAAGCACCTGCTGTGTATGGGTGCTATGCTGGGTCCTGCCAAGTAGGTGGCTTTCAGTATCACCAGGAAATCAGAATATTCCTCTCTGTTTAGAGATGATTACTTCAAGCCCACTACTCTTCTTGCTTGTGTGATCACCCTTACACATGGGAGCCATTTTGAAAGGTTAAAGAAGATCTTTATGTTACATTTTCATAACAGTCTTGGGAGATAGATAGCGGAAGAGCTAAAGAGGTGCCTGTTCTGGGTATGAACCTATGTCCTTTGATTCCTAGTCAGATATGCTTTCCTTTGGTCTATTGCTGGTTTCCAGTGTCTAAAAGTGACTCTAAAAATCATGAGTCTGCACCAGACATAAACAAGCTGGTGCCCTGAGACAAGTATGTGTAATCATATTCTGTTTACTGCTACTGCTAATGCTTTTGGTAATGGTAAAAATGGCCCATAGCTATGGAGTTCTGAGTATGGGCCAGTTTTAGTTAAGCATTTGGTTTGGATGCTTTTCAGTCAATCCTAGAATAATCCTTTAAGATAGGTACTGTTCGTGTCCCTGTTTGGGAATTCTGAGGTTTAAATAGGTTAACTACTTGCCCAGGCTCATGTAGCTCAGCTTATAGGTGGAGAGTCAGGATTTGAACCCAACCAGATAGAATCCTGCAGGCCTTGAGGTATACTCACATACCTCTGAGCAGATGCAGTGCTAGATCTGAGGCTTGGGGGTGCTAAACTGGGAGCAGCAAGGAGGTCCATGCACTTAGCTTTCAGACCTTGACAGAAACTTTTACTTACCACAGAGGCACAAACTCAGTGCAGTTGACCGTCCAGTAATACGTTAGGGACTGTGAAAGAGGTGTCATTCCAGTCCTAACCCTGATCTTACAAATTCCAAACCCCTGTGGGGCTGCAGGGTGGTTGTGCATGGACAGCTTCTCTATGCTTGTTTGGGATTGAAGCATCTTGGGCATAGCTCAACTAGGACCTTGTCTCTTTTGTCAGCAAACCACAGTCAATACTACCTTCATATGTTGCTATTTTTCTGAGAAAAATAATTTTGTGAGACAAAATGATTTGGTACTCTCCCAAAATTTCTCTTAAGAGGCCTGAGTCAGATCTACCACTTTTTTCTCTCATCAAGGATGCCTCCCTGTGATTTGCTGTAGATCTTACTGCTGGTTTGGTTATGGGATACTTCAGGCATGGTTTTAAGGAAAAATGCCTTTTGTTCACAGAAAATCTAAGACAGAAAGTTTGAAAGAAACCATTTTCTTTCTTAATCTACTTTTGTGCTATTTTGTTTTTTATTCTTTTCCTTTCTGCTAGACACTCAGCCGGAATTGTACCACCCAATGAAAAAAGGTTGGTTTGTCAAAGATGTTCCCTTTAAGACCATTCCTTTTCACTTCCCTAGTGTGTTGGAAGTTTCATTTTATGTTTCATACCATCAATCTGAGTTTCCCACCTCATTTCTTCAGCCATGGTTGCAAGTAGAGCCAGAGTAGCCCTACCTCTGTGTTACTAACAAGCTTACCTGGCTTTTCAGCACTCATCCCAGTTTCAGTAACATTGGTTACTGTGTGGCCACCCTAAGCTGGGGTGTCCAGAGAACATACAGTAGCCCAGATACTTACTTAAATCCTTTTAATCTAGGTAGAGTTTTAAAAACTATATTCAGTTTAATAGGTTGACTTTAAACTGCTCATTTATATAAGAATATGCCTCATTTATAGTTAGGTGGAATCTTTTCCTCGTCTCTCTTGTTTTTTTCGCTGTTATTCCCACTTACCTCTTTTCCCCTTCTTTTTAGTTATCCTTGCCATCTGTGTCTCTTGTCTCATGGTCCCTGAGTTGTAGCGTCCCTCAAACTTGAGAAGCTGATGAATGAAACAGGTGGAGACTAGTGAACTTTGTTTTCAAAGACAATGAACATTATAGAAAGCACTGTGCTGAATGCCTTGTGACCTTGATCTTATTTAACCCGCTGTGGTTAATCCTGCCAGCGGGGCAGTATTTTTAGCTCTGTGTTACAGTTTAGGTAGTTGAGGAAGCCTCCGATTGTATGACTTGCTTCAAGTCCATGAGTTTAAGAAGTGGAGGCTCTGGAGTCTGAATCCAGGTCTCTGTCCTTAGAACCTATGGTGTTTTTACTGCCTGAGTTGCCAGTGTCAGCTGTAGTATGACCCAGATGATTGGATAGTCCTTTTTCTTGAATCATTGAAAATAAGGGCAAACAGTCATGTTCTTAACATATCTTATGAGCCTGCTCTTTGGGCTTTGGCAGACTGATGTTGATGGACCAAGCCATGTTCCCTGGCTCAGAATTTGGTTTCTGGTTTATACCACATTTAGTTCTCAGAATACAAAAGTGTGATTTAAATCTTTGGATGATCACTTACATGTAAATGCTTTGTTTTGTTCTACTTGTGGGTGCCTCTTCTTGTAGATCACTGTGCTCACTTTCAACTGCACATCTGTTGATGTGCTGCTTACAGATAAGCATGAAATTTCTAGCTGAGAATGTAGTTGAGTGGTATAGTGCTTGCCTAGCATGTGCAGGGTCCTGGGTTCAATACCCAGTACTGCAGAATCAAACAAGAAAGATAAAATTTCTGGAATTTTAGCTAGTTTTTTTGACTTCACACACTATTAATGTGTTAGTTAATTTAACCGTTAACTTTTGGTCTCTGTAAGTCACGTGTTTGTGCATTTTGTAACACTAAAGTGGTTTTGGTCAGTGTTTACAAAACATGGATTATACCATCAAAAAAGTATTTGAACAGTCTGGGCCTCTACTGAGTTGGCTCAGAACCACCTTACTTTTTGAAGAGGCTAATTGCCCTTATGTCCTTTAAAATTTTGAAGAGGAGGAGAGAATAGACGGGGGGGGGGGGGAAGGAGCTCAGAATTAGAATGTATTGGGCTTGGTCATAAGTGTTCTTGCTGAGGCAATACCCTTCCAGATTCCTCTTTCTCAGATAGTCAGTGAGCAGAATTGCTCTTTCACTGGCATTTTAACTAGAATCAACTCATGCAATTCTTTTTGAAGTGAAAGCTTTAGAAAAAACTGCATCACTTTTGGCTGCAGTGTAATACATTAATGAATTAGCTAGCCTGCAAGCTCAGCAGCTGAGAGGCTGTGATTAATTGCTCCTGTTGCTCTGTGTTAAGAGCCAGTCTAGTTGTGATTGGAAAGCTTTGCTGTGGCTGGGCCTGGTGTCATTACCTGCCTTTGACAACTCCAGGGGACAGCAGTGCTGTGGTAAACTCAGACTGGAATCTACTCACGCACAGGTAGTTACTACCTTAGAATGTTGAGTAGGTTATCAAATTGATCTTTTATAAAGTGTCAAGTCATAGATGTGTATAGAACTATATGTATTGTTATTAATAAGAAACTTAAGCTGAAAATCATATGATTTGAAGCTAAAAATAAAAAGAATTGCCCCTCCTTTCCTTTCTCTGGGTCTATGCTGGTTCCAGTCAGTCATACTTCATATTTGGATGCTATTGTTCCAAGTACCACACATAAGTGACATGGGCTAGGGCCATGTCTGTTCTTTGAAACAGGAGAGTGGTTGTTTGTTTTGCAGTACTAGGTTTTGAACTCAAGACCTCACGCTTGCTAAGCAGGCATCCTGCCACTCACCAGACCTGTTTTGTGTTGGGTATTTTTGAGATAGGATCTCATGAACTATTTGCTTGGGCTGACTTTGGACCTCGGTCCTCCTGATCACTGCCTCCTGAGTAGCTAGGATTACAGGTGTGAGCCACCAGCGCTCAGCAAGAGAGTGGGTATTCTTGCTCCGTGTAGGGAAAGGTAACCTTCCACCTTGGTATTAGAATTCTCCCTGTTGATGGACTGCTTTCTTCCTGCTCATTCTTTACTGACCATTTAGTATGTGACCATTGAGGATCTAATCTCTGAGAGGAATATGTGCCAATGGGAGACAAAGAGGTGGTTGGTAATTATAAACTGTGATTTTTTTAAGTGCTACAACCTGGGAGTACCTCCCAAGAGGAGCTGAAGCTTGAAATGCAAATAGGAGGACTGAGCTTGGAGAGAGTATTTGAGGCAGACAGGATTGCCTGTGGGTTAACTGTCATGCTCAAGATACACATCCGGAGCACTGCTGGGTGATAATCTTCTGTCTGTACAGGAGGACCTGGGTGCTGAAGAGCTGGGCTGTGGGATAGCAAGTGCTACTTAATAGGACAACACATATAAGCGTGTTAGTGTTTTCCATGCTAGACTGCTCTTGAATTCAGCTTCTCTCTATCTTATGATGAATATTCTCCCCAAAGGCTTGCATTTCCATTTTTCCAAGAGGGAGGAGACAAGCATTCTGTCGTTCATTATACCCATTGGTCCTCTGAAAATGCCTGTATCATTCATCCTTAGAGAGCACAGTGCATCTTCAAACTTGGGAACCCAGTAGCATAATGAGTTGTGGGGGAGGCATTCAGTGAGGGGCTCCCTGGCTTTCAGGCAGGAGTTTGCTGCTTCTATGACATTGGCCAGAGATAGGCTGCCTAGAAGCTCAGCTATGATCTCTCTTCACACAGGGTCTGGAGTGAGCGAGCAAGATGGAGGACTGATTGGTGCAGAAGAGAAAGTGATTAACAGTAAGAATAAAGTGGATGAAAATATGGTGAGCACATTCTCCTTCTGCATAGCACATTTCCTTTTGAGATTGACTAGAGCAAGTAGTGAGTGCTTCTAGGAGCACATCTGTGTGCCTGTCTTCATGTGGTAGGAGATGAGAGCTTCAGCTGCTCCCATAGACTGACTGTGCTGCTTAGCATCTGCAGGTGTGAGGGACTAGTGACGTCTCTTTCTGCAGTACATTTCCTCCTCACAGCAGGAAAATACATTTGCAACTGAAGTTGCGAATAACATCAGAGGCGATTTTCAAGTAAGGAGAGATTTAATAACCTGAAAATAAAATGAAGGTGGGCTTGGTTCTCTACCCCCTTGTATATAAACTGTTTCCTATCATTTATTTCTTGAGTTTGATGGGGGTTTTTCTTTTTCTTTTCTCTTTCCTTTTTTTTTTTACCATGTTGCTTACACTTAAAAGGACCACTTTCGATTGGCAGGCAATCCCTGTTATGTGTGAGCAACTGCTCTGGTACTGTAGCTGAGTTTGATGTTTTAACTTTGGCTTTATAACCTGTCCTGAGCTAAGTCTCCACACAGTTACCTAAAGGAAAATGCAGGTGTAAACCACCATTAGATCATTTCCCGACACAGGATTTTTGCCTTCCCACTTGTACCTTTAGGGAGGTTGGTGAGTGGATTTGAATGAATGTGACAGAACTGACTGGTTAGTAGGTATCCATCAGGTGACTGCTTCTAACAGTTGCTAAGTGCAGTAGAAAAGAAGCGATGGTATTTATACTGAATTTCCCCCATATATACCTAGTTTCTAGGTGCTGAAATTTTCATGACTCTTTCAGGTCATTGATGAGACTCTGGATGTTAAGGAAATGATCTTCAATGCTGAGAGAGTTGGAAGTCTTGATGAGCCGGTAGGTGTTTAGTTCTAGAACCTAATGCCAGGTTTCATGTTAGTCTTACTGTTTCTCCTTCTGAAAGTGAGAGATATCTGGTGTTCGCCATATTAAGGGTCCATCATCCTCACAGTTTTGGGTAAGAAAACTAAAATGAAAAATCTCCATGGAACTGGGTGCTAGTGGCTCACGCCTATAGTCCTAGCTACTCAGGAGGATCACTGTTTGCCCAGGCAAATAGGTCATGAGACGCTATCTCAAAAATATCCAATACAAAAAAGGGCTGGAGGTGTGGCTTAACTGGTAGAGTGTCTGCCTAGCAAGCATGATGCCCTGACCTCAAACCCCAGTACTGCCCAAAAAAAAGAAAGAGAGGGGGAAGAGGGAGAGGGATGGAGGGAGAGAAGGGGAAAGGAAGGAAAAGAAAGAAAAAGAAACTCCATGGAGATTGGAAGGGTGACCTGCAAAGCAGGATGTTGTGCTGTCTTAGGTTTTAGAACCCGCTTTTAAAAATGAATGGTATTCTTTCAGTTACCTGCCTCACAATTGCCAGATGGCCACTGAGACTTTATTCTCTGTCTGCTTTATTTTAGGAATCTGTGGGACCTCTGAGGGAGAACTTCAGTCTGAGCAGCAGTGCCCTTATTGGCCTGCTGGTCATTGCAGTGGCCATTGCCACAGTCATCGTTGTCAGCCTGGTGATGCTGAGGAAGAGGCAGTATGGCACTATCAGCCATGGGGTTGTGGAGGTGAGGAGTGGGATTGTGGAGGTGAGGAGTGGGCTTTCTTCTGCCTTAGCCTGAGCTGGTAAGGGTTTGCTCTGTGCTTGCCACCAGGATGGGGCGGCAGGGAGTGAGGTTGGGAACTGTATGAAATTGGAAGATCTTAACTTCTTGAGGCCTGGACTTACTGCCATATTAATTACACAGCCCACTGGATTGTTAGGTCACATTTTGGGAAGTCAGCTATAACTAAATTATGTTGATCCTGTTTAAGGGCGTTGCCTTTCAGCATTAATTTTGGTTTTAACTGTGAATATCAGAAAGTCGTAAGAGCATTTTACACTTCAGAAAGTGAAAATTTTCTGGAGTATTTTCTTCCTGCCATTCCTTGTTTTAGGTGTGTTAGATTTAAGAATGAAGGACTGTCACTGCTCTTCCTTTTGTGTGTCCATATACATACCTGTGTGTGTTCTTGCATGTGTGGTGTAAGGGATGGAACTCAGGACCTTGGGTGTGCTAGCGAGTGCTCTACCATTGTACTGTACTCCCAGCCCCTCCCCTCTTTTTTAATGGGGGGAAAGCAACAGGAAATTTGAGAAACAAGGCAAGCAATTTCTGTTCTATCTTTTGTTAATTTATAATTGTATCTGTTTGTCACTCATTTTTTAGTGCATGGTGAGAAATGTCCAGTGTCCTGATTTTTGAATATAAATACAATAAGGAATATAATATGCTCTGGAAGATTAGTTCAGAGGCAAGTCAAAGTAGTTTGGCTTTATCTCCTGCTGGAGCCTGGCTTACCTGTAGGGTTTCAGAGCTGGAAAAGACCAGGAATCATCTCTCCCCTTTCCTTATAGCATAGCTGAGTGTGACCTGACTCACCTGCTATCCCCAGAACTAAGTAGCAGAAACTGAAACTAGCTTGTCACTGTGGCACTAGGAAACCCAGTGGGCTGTTTTCTCCCCCTTGCTTAAACTTTCAGGACTCCAGTTTGAGAAGGAAGCATGACCTCTTCGACCCCCTTCTTTTCTTTCTCCTCCTCCCATGTTCATTAGCTCTTGTTTGGCTTATCCAGTAGAATGGGATTCTGGGCTGCTTTGGATCCTCACAGGATTGTGCAGCAAGCAGTTCAGTCTTCTGACACCCTGTGCGGGCCTCTTCCATCACACAGCAGTGACCTGCGATCTTTGTTCCTCCAGGTTGACCCAATGCTCACCCCAGAAGAGCGTCACTTGAACAAGATGCAGAGCCATGGCTATGAAAATCCGACGTACAAGTATCTGGAGCAGATGCAGGTCTAAGTGCAGAAAGCATGCGCACCCTGGCCGCAGCAGTGGCGCATCTTGGACCAACTGCTGACCACTAGTTGCCACTGGAAGGTCTCATCTTATGTCCTGACCTCCTGGGTCATTAAGACTATAAAGTACTACTGTAGGATTGCAATTTCCATTCTTTTAAATGGGTGAAAAATGTTAATATAACAATATATGATATATAAACCTTAAATGAAAAAAAATGATCTATTGCACATATCTGATGGATGTAGTTTTCTTTTTTAAATTAATCAGAAATCTCACTTCTATTATATTGTCTCACACATACCTGCTCTATATAAATGGAAAATGTTGATTTTTTAATGGAAGACTGTGTATGCAGGCTGTTTGCTCCGGTTACATTGTGTAAGTCAACTCTGTAGGCTCATTCACTGTCCTGGTTTTTATTACAAAAAGAAAAAAAAAAAGCAGTATTCCCTTTTGAAACATTGAGAAAGTTGCTGAGAAACTAAGTGAAGTAGGGAACAGTAATTGATATGGAAGAAATTATTCTAAAGGACCAGCTTTGTGGAAGTGTCCTGCGTTTCCAGTGCTGGGTACCTTGGTGTCTTGTACAAGCCCTTTCGCAAGGGGATCAAGGCATTTTTGTTCCCGCATTTTCCATAGAGCCGAATGCGTATAGATGAGGGTGTCCACTGCTGCTTTCCTTCTAAATCCAGTTCTTCCACAACTAGCCTGTAGTTTGTATATGGCATTCTTCCACTGTGTTGTTTACTTACTGTAGCTTCTTACTCACTTCCCCTTCGAAAATATGTCCAAATGTGCAGTCTCTTCCTCTTAGGACATCTCCCTCCAAGGCACTGACTCTCAGCTGTCGCTTTGTACCTTCACTTCTATCCCCTCTCCTCTCACCAGCCTCTTTGCCGTTCACTCCGAGAAGGCCACAATAGTAGGGCCCAGGTGAGCCTGGGGAGGCTTGTTGATATAGAAGGAAAATGTTTGTGGTTATACCCAAAATTGGATCTGTAGACCCTGTGGGAAGCTTTGAAGATTTTTGGTTCCTTCACACAAGTCTTTGTAATGCTTGTATCATTGATGTTGATGCTCACAGCTTTTTGGTTTTTTTTTTTTTTTTCCCCCTTTAATCTGAAGGTTCTGGTAACCTTGGTATATTTTTTTCTATGACTTTTGTTGTTGTTGTTGTTTTCCTTCTTCCTCTCCTTTGGCCCTATCTATGTCTTGTCCCACTATGCACAGGTTGAACTTCACCTACAGACTCCTTAATATGATCTGTGGAGAATGTACAGAGTTTAAACACATTAATAAATACTTTATCTTCCACCGACATGTGTTGTTTAATTGACCTTACCACTGATCTGTGATGATCTTTATTCTTTGCCTTTGGGGACAGTAACTATCTTCCTTCTGTGAAGAATTACTGGGCTGTATTACAGAGGCTGAAACAAGTGTCAATCAGGTCTTGGCGTTTAGGCTCCAGTTACATATCTCATTAAGAAAAATAAACTGGGTTTGGTAGCACATGTCCGTAATCCCAGCACTTCGGAAGTTGAGATAGATGGATCTCAAGTTCGAGGCCAGCCCTGGCTACATAGTGAGGCCCTGCCTCAAAAAAAAAAAAAAGGAAAATCTTAGGGCATTTATCTGGAAAAATTTAAGTGAGACTTCCAATACTTAGTAATACGAGATTTTTTTTTCTTGACATAGGAAACTAGGGCTTATGGCTGAATTTTCAGAGAAATGTACAGCCTCCATTTCTGAGTTTCTTAAATAACCTGCCACTAGGAGGCCCTGTCTTCTCATTGAAGGGGATGTTACTGCTTACGTGGCTTTGTGCTTAGTGTGATTTTCACTCAAGTCTTTTTTTAATGCACTACTCTGTGAGAGTAAATTCAACGGTTGATCTTATAGTCCTCTCCCTAATTTACTGTAATGTAATTTAAATATATGAAATCATGATCAAGGTAATTTGTGGAAGAGGTGTACACACCTGAGTGTTCATTCCTAGACCTTGGAATAGGGAGTAAGCAGTTTATGAGCCTCTAGCCAGGGAGCATGTTGGACAAGCCTAAAAACACAACACTCGTTCTTCATAACAATCAGCACTTCCCCAGCCACCTCTCCTTCCCGCACTGACCACTCAGGTTGTTGCCAGGAAAGTAATGAAAAGGGAACTTTATATCTGAAGCGAATGTCTGCCAGTCACTTGACCCTTTATATGATCTGGGAATGATCTTATTACAAATGTAACAGACCAGATTCATTTATTTTAGTGCCTTCCATCGGCTTGCCACTCTCCAAGCAGTGTCTAGCTTAATCATCTCAGCCTTGGGAGGTGTATCATGGGCCTTTCTGTCTCACAGAATGCTGAGGTCTTCCAAACACGGCTCCATTGGAGTCCCTCCCTATATCACTCCTGCAAGGTGGTAGTCCCTGAAGGTTGCACTAGAAAACTGGCTTCTGTTCATCAGTAGTATCCAACTAGTCAGCCCTAAAGACTTTTATGCATTACCAGCAGTGGTTTCTGCTTTTACATGCATCACCCAAATGGGTCAACACAGATGCACCCAGAGTTGCATCAGAATATAGGAGTTCTAGCAGCCAGCCTACGTGTAATCCTTCAACCTGCATGGATTTGCTTTGCATTCAACAGAGTTACAGATTCATCTAATCGAATTCTCAGATTATAGAGGTGAATGTGTCTATGGTAGCCATATGGTGATTAGATTTTGTAAGGAAACACCCACGGAAATGTAAGGCAGGAATTGTGCGTCAGCCTCACCCTTAAACTGGCTCCACTCTGCTCCCTGGCAGCACAGTCCCCTCATGGGTACTGACAGAAACTTACTCATCTCCCAGTTTCTGCCTGGGTGACTCAGCTTGACCTCTGGGGAATGTGGCTCTACCCACCCTGCTCTGAGCCTTAGGTGCTGGCTGCTGGCTTAGTGCAAAGGTCCTCCTACCTGCCCGTCTGCTCTCAGTTGCAAATCAGCCCTGCAGCTGAAGTCTGAGCCAGCCCTAGGAGTCCAAGGATCTGCTCTGGTTTCAGTTGCTGTGACAACTGATACTCTTATTTTAGGAGACATAGTTTAGGCTGTAATGAGTCCCTATGATTTCAGGAGATCCAGGAGTCCACTCTCATAAGAACATACTGTCTTAGCATTTCTCATGGGAAATCACCCACACAAACAAAATGGATAGGAGGAAGTAGAAGGGACCTCTCGTCTTTCACTGTTGAAACATAAGATCACCTGCTAGTGGCAGAGCCTAAGTCTTTAGTTATGAGCAATGGGCTCTTTTTCTGAGACAAAGGGCAAAGTAGTCCTTATAAAATAAAGAGATCAGTCTTGCCTTGTTACCTATAAAGTAGGTAGTAGGGAAGTCATTTCTGTTCCGTCCCTGTGGGTTCTTAGTTTTAGCATCTTTTAACCACAGGCTTAGTTACTGCAATCTGCGGTAGAGCACCGCAAATATCTGGAGAAGTGATCTAAGTTGTTTTCCCCTAGAATTCTTGAAATGGGTGGGACACAATTTCTTGGGGAATCTGCTAGAATCCTGTAGAGCTCAACCCAGATCCAGTTGAACTTCAACGTTGAAATAGTACCACTCTTTGCTAAGAAGTGGCTCTACCACTTGAGCCAGTCCACCAGCCTCATTTGCGTTCTCATTTGCACGTGCTCTCTCTCAAGTCTGCTGATAATTTAGATTTCCTAGGTAATGTCCATTTTCTTCCTAAGATACGACATTTTATTTAGTTGTCACTAGGCTCCTCTGGACTGCCAGTTTCTCAGCCTTTCCTAATTTTGATGTTCTTGACAGTTTTGAGGAATCCTGGTCAGGCATTTTGTAGCATGTCCCACTGTTGGGACATCTCTGATGTTTTTCTCATGGATCCCTGAGATTATATCATACTGACTTAAAAAAATTTTTTTGTGCTTCTAGGGAGCCTCAGGTGCTCCAAGACCAGTCCTGGGGTTGTGTTTTATTGAAGGAAGACCACAGATGTCACGGCTCCTCATCACATGTGGAAAGTACACAGCACCAACATGGCTTATCACTGCTGATGTTGACCTTGATCACCTGGCTAAGGTGACAAGGTCAGATTTATTTACTTTAAAGTTACTTTTACTCTTCCCCCCATACTGTCTTCTTTGGAAAGACATCACTGTGTGATGTCTAAAGTAAGAGTTGAGCACTTCCTGTTAGGTTTTGGATCTTAAATGTTGCCCAAGGGCCCATGTGTTAAATGCTTGGTCTCCAGCCTGTGGCATAATTGGGAGGCAATGGAACCTTTAGGAGCTGAGTGGAAGGAGGTTAGCTCCCTTGAAAGGGATGTAGGATCCCAGCCCCTTCTCTTTCTCTCTCTGCTTCCTGGCTGCCATGAAGCGAACAGACCTCCTCCACCACGAACTTCCCACCGTCAATGGTGTCTTGTCTCACTGCAGTGCCAAGACACCATGGACTGAAACGATGAGCAAAAATAAACCTTTCCTCCTCTTGTTTATCTCCAGTATTTTGTCACGGTGATGGGATGCTAGCTAACACACTCCTTTATCTCTTTTTTTTTTTAATTCTTTTTTGACACTTGAAACAGAGTGATTAGAAAGTCTGGTTCTAAGATCAGTTTGTTGCAGTGCTATACGTAATGATTGCCAAAGCTGAAAGAGTTCTAAATTGTGATGGTTCCAGGGGAGTACACATGTGAAAACTTAGATTGAACACATAAACATTTTGTATGTCAGTTATACCTCAATAAAGCTGTTTTTTAAAAGTTCAGAAGAGACACCTCATAAAAATAGAAGGGGAGAGGTGCACCATTCATTGCAGTGCTTACTCTAATATGATAGTATGTTTTCAGTCCTACCTATCAGTTCTGTTTCAACTGTCTGTTAGGTGAGACAGTGCTTTTGACAACAAGATTACCTGGTAATGTAACCTTTCCAGGCATCTATGTTCAGATGTCTTCAGCACGAAGTCAGCAAATTGGAAGAAGCATCTTTCAGTTTAAAAAAACAAAACTGTAGTAAGTTCAACAACACTTTAATACTTAGCCATAAGATGAATCTGTGTAACATATAGTGTTTTCTTGGTCAGTTCCACTCCAACATAGGCAAGCTGGGTGCACACTTGCAGCCCCAGGTGTCTGAACAAGAGAGTCACTTGGGTCCAGGAGTTGGAGACCAGCCTGGGCAACACAACTGACTTCATCTCAATAATAATCAATAATAATATGGTGGAGATTCTACCATATTAAAGTTCTTGAGTCTTATGAAAACACATTTTTAGCTTATTGTGCTCTTCGGATTCCAACATGGGCTAGCACCAGGATTTTACCTGAAATACCTCTTCAATCCATTAGCATGACATCGACCTGGATTGTTTTTAGTAGATTTTTCCCATGAGATACAAATAAAATTTAAGAGATGGTGATAATAAAAGCTGGAATTCTTTGGCCAAACTACCTGTTCTTTTTCTAATGACCCCTCACAAGGGAGATGGCCTCAAGTAGGTTATCTACTGTTTTGTGCCTTAGTTTCTCCACCTGAAAAGTGGGGGTGGTGATAGTACCCACTTCATTGGGTTAGGAGCAAGTTACTATAGGTAAAACAACTACACATAGCTTGCTACCCAGTGTAGAGTAAATGCTCAGTAAATGTTGGATATTATTTTTTCATGTGTGGCACTGGAATTTGAAGTCAGGGCTTTGCACTTGCAAAGCAGGTACTTTACTGCTTGAGTCACACTTCCAGTCCATTTTGCTTTGTTGTCCAGGCTGACCTCGAACACTTGGGCTCAAGCAGTCTACCTGTCTCAGTCTCCCCTGAATGGCTGAAACTACAGGAGCACTCCACCATGCCAGCTCTTCTTGACTTGTTTTGATGGCTGCCCTCTGTCACTCACCTCTAAATTCAGCAGCTCTTGAGAACTCATTCCAAAATATTCTTGTTCTCCCTCTCTATTCTCTCTCTCTCTCTCTCTCTCTCTCTGTCTCTCCTTCCAGATCTTTATTAGGTGACTGCACCTAATTAGATCTCAGCTAATCCTATTATTTGGTAGTATTGATGTTTGAACTCAGGGCCTCATGCTTGCTAGGCAGGCTGTCTACCACCTGAGCCACTCTGCCAGCTTCTAGTTATTTTGGAGATATGGTCTCCTGAGCTATTTGCCCAGACTGGCCTCAAACCACGATCCTCCTCATTTCAGTCTCCCAGGTAGCTAGGCTCACCTACCTGGGGTGTGAACCAGCAGTGCCCGGTGTTATTATTATTGTTGTTGTTAATTATTATTATTGCTATTATTAGACACTGGATTTCTCTATGTTGCCCAGGCTGGCCTCCAACTCC